CTGCTGAGGAAGCGCTGGGTCCTCGGCGTCGTCTTTGGGCTCTCCCTCGTCTACTTCCTCACCAGCACCTTCAAGCAGGTCGGTGTCCCCCCGGAGCCCTCGTCCCGCGGTCCCACACGCCGGGGGTGGGGTAAAACATCCCTTATCCCAGGGTGACTTCGGTTCTTCAGGTGCGGTCGCTGAACTCCTGGGTATGTTGCCGTAAGAATTACATCGCAATTACTAAATCGAGGCAAGAGTTACAAAAATTAGTTTCTGATACCGTGTTTGACAGCAGTAGTGTTTTGAACCAAAACTGGGAAGAAAAATCTTAAAGGCACTCGATTATTCTGTTGTAATATCTTGTGAGCTGTAATTCCACTGGCAAAGGGTTTGGATAAGAGGAATATGTGTACCTATGATGATTTAATGTAACATGTGCTACTTCGCTGCGTGTAGTAGTCGAGTTCAGCTGTGTGAGCCGATCCTTTCACAAACCTGCACACCCCAGCCCGGCTGGACTGTGTTGTTTCGTGCTCTGTGTAGCAAGAAGCTACTGCAAGTAGGTTGTTGCCTTGGCTGTTGGCACTTGAGTTCCCTGTGCTGTGGAGTTCACAACTCCAAGGTGTTTTTAACTGTGGAAAAACCACGTGGATTGGAATGGCAGAAGGAACTTGTATGTTTGGTTGCATTACTGTCTTTTCTTGCAGGAAGAGAGGACAGTGAGAGATCGGAATCTCCTCCAAGTGCAAGAGCATGAGCAGCCGATCATGTGGAAGGTGAAGTTCAGTTCAGGAAACAGCAGTCAGCTGAATAACCAGTGCAGGAATTCTGTGCAGGGGAAGCTCCTCATTACAGACGAACTGGGTATACTTGATGCTAAGAATTTATTCTGCATATTGCAGTGTTGAATGCTGCTTTGCCTGTCTGATCGTTGATGATGTTTCCAAGTAATAACTGCCCTTGATTAAGGCTGCACACCCTCAGCTGCTGGCGTTTTGTCCTCAGACTGGAGTGATTTTGCTGTGGCTGTGTACACTGCTGAGCTGAATCTGGGCCCAGCTGGTCTCAGCGCAGGCGTGGTACCTTAGGCGTGCAGCTGTACCGTTTGCAGGACCACCTTAGATTGAGAGACCTCCGTGTAGCTTTGCACAGAACTCGAACACGGAGCCCTGCTCAATCTAGTGTGGCTGCTTGCAGAGCTATTGGTATCTGCCTGCAGTGTATTCCTACTGTTAGGTATGTAAGGGAGAGTAATCAGGGAAACCTAATTGGCCTTGTAGAGAGGCAGCTCAGGACTGGCGTAATTAGTGTTCAGTCACAGTTAACAAGCTCATCTGACCCTTGTAAACCCAAGGATGTTTCTTGGAGGTTCTCAGATTAACCACTTGTTTTAAGTATATGGAGCCTTTCCTGTGCTGCACATATGCTTCCCCAGTGTGCTTGTTGCTCAGGCACTGGACCTTTCTTGACCAGAAATCAAGGCTTCAGAAAAAAACACCACATCTTCTGTGCTTTGCATCAGTGTAAAATGTAACGCTGCCTGGATTATGCTTATTGCTGATTGACTAAGGTCTCTGAAATCTCAGATAGCTTTCACAGTCTGACGCTGTGATAGAACAGTTTCTGTAGGCACATATGCTGCGGTTCTATGCTATTAAGGATTCCTCTCAATGAATATTGCAGCTGTCCTGTGTGGGTAAATAGAATTCTCTTCATATTGAACTATAGAGAGAGTTATCCAGACATAGACCAGTTGAAAGAACATGTGTGATAGTTTTCTCCCATACAATCATCACCAATCCCTTTCCCCTTCCAACCTTGACAAGAATTATCACTGAATCACAGAACAGTTTGGGTTGGAAGGACCTTAAAGCCCACCCAGTCCCACCCCCCTGCCATGGGCAGGGATGCCTTCCATTAGCCCAGGTTGCTCCAAGCCTCATCCAGCCTGGCCTTGGACACTTCCAGGGATGGGGCATCCACAGCTTCTCTGGGCAACCTGGCCCGGTCCCTCCCCACTCTCTCCAGGAATTTCTTCCTGATGTCCCATCTCAGTCTCCCTCTTTCAATTTAAACCCATTACCCCTTGTCCTGTCACTCCCTGCCCTTGGAAAAAGTCCCCCCCAGCTTTCTTGTAGCCCCCCCAGGTACTGGAAGGTGCTATAAGGTCTCCTGGGAGACTTCTCTTACTGTGCCAAAAGGAAATCAGCACTTAAATATTCTGCATTTAAAGACTCATACTGTATATACAGCATATTAGAGTAGGTAATAGCTGTGCAGATAACACCAGGTTGTTGTAAAACTTGGCTCTATGTCAAAGCGGTGTTTCAAAGAATTGCTAGTTAGGACTTGAGTCAAACTGAGTGGGGATCATAATCTACTGAATGATAAATAAACCTGTTCCTAAGTAATGTGATTCTTACTATAGATTTCTACAGAATATGAAAAGGAGTGCGTCTTGCCAGTTGTTACTACTGTTTTTGTTTTTCAGGCTACATCTGTGAGAGGAAGGACCTACTGGTGAATGGCTGTTGTAATGTCAATGTGCCCAGCACCAAGCTGTACAGCTGTGACAGCTGCCTTCCCAATGGCTGCTGCAGTTTGTACGAGTACTGTGTTTCCTGCTGCCTGCAGCCCAGCAAGGTGCATAGACTTGCTCCTGCTTTTCAGACGTTCTCAGCTGCTCAGGTTCCTCTGCAGCTGAAAGTGCTTCTTTGTGAGGAGCTCTTTCCTTAGAGGGGACAGTTCCTTTTCTTGGAAGGATGAGGAAAGCCTGCAAGGACCATATGGCAAGCTGTAAATAAAGCTTTAAAAAAATAAAAATTATCCTTCCTAGCTCTGAGAGTAAATACTGGGACCTTGCAAAATGTTTCTGCTTCAGGGGAATTACATTTGCTGAAGGGGAATGATTGCAGAGAAGCTATTCCAGTTACTCAGTTTTGGAATTAGCGCTTCTCTACATTGTCTTCCTACTGCTGGGGTTCCCTGACCTTTCAGTGCTGTCTGGAAATTCTAAGTGGAGTTGCTTACTATTCCTCTGATACTTGAGCTGTGTAGGTTAAGGTGGGGTTTGATTACTCCTTGAAGTACGATGTTTGTGGGCTTTTTGTCTTGACTTCTTTTTCGCTAACCACTTTAGCAACATCTTCTGGAACGTTTCTTGAACCGGGCAGCTGTTGCTTTCCAAAACCTCTTCATGGCAGTGGAAGATCGGTTTGAGTTGTGTCTGGCGAAATGTAGGACTTCGTCACAGGTGAGACGCAAGTACCTGTCCAGGGCTCAAAAATGGAAAAATACCCCAAAGGTGCCCTTGGAAATCAGGGCTTGGCCATGTGAATGGCTGGTCTGTTGTGCTTGTGTGCACACCTTTTTAGACTTGCCATGTGCTGACAGTCATCCGTACGGTAACTCAAAACATATGGTGCAATTTTTTTTGCTTTTTAAGAACAGAGAAAGGTGAACTTGTGTTACCCATGTGATTTTATTAGAAGTTTTGGTCTAAGCAAGCATCGGTCCTCTTACAAAGTGCAGTTGGAGATGTTGTGCAGCTTCAGTATTTAATACAGCAATGGGGATGGATTGCAAACAAAGGACATACCTCTGAAGTTGTTTTTTTAACTTATAGTATCTGAACTGTAGCTTTGTCAAGAAAAATGCAACTTTATTCTGCCTTCCTTGCTTAGGACATTTGATGATACTGCCTAAGCATATATAACTTTTTTTTTAATATTGAGTCTGTTCCCAGCTGCTTGGGTAGTCTCCTGAAAAGGAGGTTCTGGGTATGGTTCAACATTGGTGTGCCATAATATAGCAATTGTCTTCTTTATGTTGGGAGTGCAGTGTTGTTTGAGTCCAGATGATACTCTGATGTGTAGAAGAACAACATCTTCTGGGTTTTGGCCTTTAGTGAAGGGATGTATTGTTTCAATATTGTGTGTATTGTTAAAGCTTCTCCTCCTCTTCCTGACAGAGTGTGCAGCATGAAAACACCTACAGAGATCCAATTGCAAAATATTGCTATGGCGAATATCCCCCAGAGCTTCTGCCTGTTTGAAAGCTGTATGATCTAAGCAACAACGGGAAGGAACTGGAGACTAGAATCCAAAATAGCAAGATCACAGCTGTTGCTTTACAAGAGCCTCAGTGTAAATGGCTTATGCTGTTTCTGGGGACAAACCCAGAGGTCTACAGTGTAAGCGAGGGACTGAAGTACTCTGGGACTCAATCTTGCTTTCTTCAGTTTGTTATGCACCTGCTTTAGAGCACGAGAGTACTAGTAAATTCTTTGAATGCTTCCTCTAAGTTTTAGGATGCACGGAGTTGATCGAGGCTATAAGACATCATAGGAAAAATATCTACCATAGCTTTGCAGCTGTACATGGAGGTTTAGTTGTCTCTGCGGTCCAGAGGCTTTCCAGAGTGACAGTAATAATGGGGGGATTTCTGCTTTTAAAGAGTAAAGCATGCCTGTTGTGCTCTCTCTGGAGCTCTTATCCATGTGCATGGTGTACACTACGTATGTAATTATGAATTATTTATTCATTTTATATGGATTACTAGCTGAAAGTATTGATGCTTTTCATAGCTAGTTGTGGATACTTTTCAGTCCCTGTTTTGTTATGTCACATAGAAAGGATGTTTTAGATCCTGACTAAAATTGTTTTTTATTTTTTCCTCCTTAATCTAAAAGAACTGGGATCCATCACGATAGTGCTTATGTTCCTCTTAGTGAGTTTAAAGCATTCAGAACTCCAATGGAGTTGTTATTCTGTCAAAGTCCCATAGCAGGAGATGAGAGCAGTGATCTGCCTAGGATGGGATGTTTATTGACTGTAAACATTTTCGTTGTTACTCTGCAACAGTTTCATCGAAGAGGAGTCAGTCCTATAAACAGATCTCTGCTAGTCCACTTTCTGACAGGGAGCACTGAAGACTTGTTTGCTTGAACTTGTTCAGGCCTTGGTAATTCAAATGTGCTTCACTCCTGGTTGCGCAGGAGGCAAAAGGGTGGAGTTGTTCTGGGATCTCAGTTTAATGATGTCCTTGTGCATGAAGTAAGTATGCATGACTGTCAGAACATGGCGTAAGCCCTCCTCTGAGGACAACTGTGTTGCCTGAGTTCATTTAAACAGTCATCATGATTTTGATTTGCTGTTTGACATGCTTGCTACTCTGGAATTTGTCTGATCAGAATGGCACTAGAATGGGGTTGGCTCTCCCATGTTTCTTTTAGCTCTTGAAAGTTGCAATTTAAACTGTCTCGATCTTAAGGCCACACAACACAGACAAGACGGGTAGAGAACCTGTCAAATGCTAACTAAATCTGTGCTCCCTCTGCAAGTCATGAAGTCCAAACACAAGACAAAATTGGGCTGTTCTTTTCTATACACAAAGCCTCATTTCTCTTGTTTTTACCCCATCCATCTCCTCCATGATTCTGACTTTGCGTATGTTTGTTTAAACTGATACTTCCTATTCCCTGCCTTAAATAATTCTACAGAGGCTTTAGAAAACAAACAACACCCCCCAAACTGAAGCACAGCAGTGGAGTATACTCGTGCAAAAGATCTGCAGAATGCTATTCTGACTTTGTGTATGTTTGTTTAAACGGATACTTCGTATTCCCTGCCTTAAATAATTCTGCAGAGGCTTTAGAAAACAAACAACCCCCCCCCAAACTGAAGCACAGCAGTGGAGTATACTCGTGCAAAAGATCTGCAGAATGCTATTGCAGTCACATATGATACAAACAAGAAGCAGTGTTACCAGCCGTCGGATAAAATCCACTTGCATTGTTTTCATTGTGCTTTCCCAGAAGTCATTGTGTGAGATAATGGTTTCATCAGCAGATTCTCTTGAAAATCTTGTTTTTCCAAAAGCTTCAAAGCTTCAGCATTAGTAGTTCATCCAGCTGAAAATCTGTCTCCCCTTTGCTGCCATCCTATGGCAACTTGCTGCAGCAGACATGATAAAGTGTGAAGATGCAGTGTGAAATGCTGTCTTCAGAGGGTAGCAGAGGTTACTTCTCTTTTCAGTGTTAAACAGATTCTTCACCTCTGTTACAGCACTTCATAACTCTCTTCCTCAGGGAAGGCCATCAGGTTGGTCTCTTCATCATTCCTGATCATGTGTTTGCACCACGACTGATGATCAGGATACGGATGGCTTGTTCTTGCTTTCTTTTCCAACTTGGTATTAAGTCCTTAATAGGTGATACCACCACTTGAAGCAGTAATTGTAAGAAATCATAAGAATCAACCTAATTTGGACAACATTAGTGGGAATTCCTGGCCCCTTTCTGTCCTAGAAAAACAAGAGGTGATCAGAAGTGCCCATTGTCCACTCAGTGGGACACAAACTGCATCCTCCCTTCCCGATTGTTGAGCTGTTCAACTAGTGTCTATATGATATGTTAAATCATTAAAAAGTTATGTGTTCCAAATGCTGCCTGTTCTCATGTCTTTCCTTCAACTGCAAGGCAACTGTACAAAAATACAAGTTTGAAGAATGCAGTGGAACAGAGAGGGACACTAACTTGGGTATGTGAGTATAAAGGCAAGCAAGGAGAGGTGAACAGGAGATGTATTTCATCTCCGTCTAAGAGAGAGCATGCTTCTCAATGGTGCACAGGAAGATCTGGCACTCTGCAAAATTAGGTTGAGCAGGGAAAGGATTGTAAATGATTGTAAAGATAGGGTGAGAAATGTTAACTCTGTGCCAGGTTGTGTACTCCTTAGTTTCTGTGGTTTATGAGAATATTAGTGAAAAATAGCAGCTGACGCCTATTGAGGAACAGGTATGTAGCTGTACCCATTTGGAAACTAATCTATGGCAGAAGTGCAAAGCAGTAACTGCCATTGTCACTGAATTTAAACTTGAGCCATTGGCCTTGAAAGAACCTGCTGTACAGCTTCATCAGGATGGTGCATGGGGGATTGGATAAAAATGCTTACTATGATGGGCTGGGGTTCTGAAAAGGCAAAAGCAGACTTCGGGCTTGAGGCCAACACTAAACACCTGACTAGTTGGGATCATGGCTTCTGCATTCTCAGAGTCTCACTCATTGTACTACCAGTTCTTCACTCTATATCCTGTATGTGTTCAGGCTCTAGTTGCCTGGAGAGCTTTCTAAAAAACTATACTGGGAGTCAATTTCTATATATAAAGCACTAAGCACAGCAAATTCTAAACATGAGTCTTTGTTCTGATAAGCTTTTTGAAAAGAAAATGCTTTTTTACTTCCCTTGTCATTTAGCTTGTCAGGCTTGAGCTTTAGGATTTGTTCTGGTTTGTGCTAGCCACTTCAATTGCAAACACTCTAGGTCCTTTAACCTAGTACCAAAATGTGGTATTTGTTCTTCAGTTATTCTAGTCAAGGAGAGGTGGGGGAGGAGGTGAAAAGGAATTTTCTAACTCAGCAAGTTCCATGAAAGACGGAATTCAGCAAATTATTGGTGCTTTAATAAAAGCCCTCTGCATTTCTGTACAACCCGAGGCAAACAACTCACTAGATGCAAAGGGGGAAATATGCCAACTTCAAAACCTGCAGGGAATGATGGGAAAGTATTTAGTTCTTCATTTTTGCTCCGTGTCTAATTAAAGAGGCAGTTCTATCTAATACTTTTGGTCAAATGAGGTCTGACTTGCAGCAACTTGCATGTTGTCTACGTGATGTTTTCCCTTTTTGAGGCAGTCAGATGGCCACAGATTTTTCTTAGAAATCATGGTTCTTGGTAGATTAGAACTATAGCTCTTCAGCAAGAATTCTCAGGATGCTTTAGACTGAAGCATGTTTGTTGCTGTGGCCTGCTCTTTCGCCTATGGTAAAATAACACAGAGTTGCCAAGTAGAGAAAATTAAGAAATTAATTCTGGGTGAAAAGTTTGCCTTGTAGAAGCTTTTCTAATAGGTGTTTCAATTAAGGGGATAGAAGAGCACAAGCTGCAGTTGCAAATGGAATGGGAGGCAAGTGTTGGGTTTTCCACAGATGAGATTACAATTAATCTGTTTCTACTGTTAATGGTTGAAATGAGGACTAGCACCTGATTCCTTGCCAATTTAATGGAAGCTTCCAATAAAATCCAGCTGTCATTTATCCCATGTGTTTTCTGTCTCTGCATGCACCTACAGGCACGCTAATAGGAATCAACGTGAATGGGACTCATACATCAATTGTCTGTATTCTGTTCCTGTCCTGGAAAAAATCTGTTCAGATTTTAAACAAGCTTTCTAAAATTTAGATTTTTAGAGCAAAAAGACAACTCTACATTTGTAGCTGCTATGACTTCTGACCATGGCCTCACCTGGAGCCTTTAACAAACCAATTGATACAAATAATCCTTGTTTTACACAGACACGAAATATCACCATTTGACAAAGTGGGATTGGGTATAAATCACAGGTGTGACATGTTTGTCCTCACACCAAAAAAACGTAGCATCCTAAGCTATTGACATAAACAGATGCCTAAATACATGCCTGGGCTGTGCAAGATGACACTGGGTACTCTGTATCCTCATCTTCAAACTGAAAAATGTAGATTATTTGCGGACTACAGTTACAGACCTGATTAGTAATGAAAGTTGTGCCATCTGAGGAAATAAACATGTTCATACATGGATGAACACGGTCCTAATTTATCCGAATCACTTAATGCCTTAAAAACACACCTGATTTTTTTTTTTTTTTTTTTGTCTGCTCAACTTTTTGTGTCAGCCTACAAGCTTACTTGTAGTAGCGTGTCGGAGCCGGTGTAACAGCGAGGATCAGCCAGCAGAGGTTACCACAGCATTTGGATAAAGCTGGTCTCTCCCCTGGAGCCAGGCTGGCAGATGGCCCTCGGAGCTGAATTGCACTTGGCAAAAGCAAACCGACGAGTGCAGAAGACAAGTCATTACACTGCTGCAGGAGTGTGGAGTGTCTGTTTGGAACGACTCCTGTGCCTTTGGCCTGGCCACCCAAACCCACAAGATAAATTTACCTTTGAGGGCTGCCTGGGTTTGCAACCTGTTGGGCTGTCGCGGGTGCTAAGGTGGGAGAATAGCCACAGCGCTGGGACAAGCTGATGGACAAGTGTTGTACTAAAATAATAATCATCATGATTAAAAAGACCCTGACCCTCACAGTAAGGGGAGAAATGGGAGAGCTGTGCCCTGGTGCCTCCCCTCACCACAGGGGAGCAGTGAAAATCGCTCCCCCCGAGGCAGCTGGGAGGTGTGAAGGGACGGCTCTGCCGTCGAGGCCGCGCCCTT